AAACTACGCACTATTTCCTGCACTCTCTGACCTACCGGCAGGCTGCGAACTGGATGGCATCTCAAATTTCGACAAAAATAGATCGTGAACCTGCCGGCACGTTCACGATTCGCCCCAAATAAATGGGAAACGAGGAGTTTTCTTGATTTACTTTCAATCCCCAGACTATTTCGACAACAAAACTGGACCAACACAAACAAATAGATGATCAGCCTGGCTTCGGGGTCTTCGGAGGCAGTTTGAGATTTTAGGGACCTCAAGTCCACATCAGGGCGACCTCAGGGCATGAGATGCCGGCAGATAGGGTGGATTACTACTCAGACAAATCTGATCAAATCCGACAAATCCGCAGGCGGCGCGCACTGAATCAGCGAGCGATGTGCCTTCCCGCCGCCTGTGTGTGCAGTGCGCGCCGCCTATGGATTGAAGGTCCGCCGCCTGCGCGCTACGAGAAAAATTTTGGCAGGAATGTGCTCGGATTTTTGTTGTCGGTCTGAATATCTTATGCTTGTTGGACAATGTGGTTTCACAACTATTTTATTAACGAATAATATCTACATTTTTCAAATTTGACAGGTTTTTAACACAAATTTCAACAAAAACGCAGTATTTTCAGAGTAATGCTGTCTTTGACAGCTGGCATTCAATACTATTAGCTTAGGTAGTACTTACAAAATTCACAGACATTTCAAAGTCAACATCAACAACGTATTTACATTCAAATATGATATCAACAAGACGTGTGTATGAAGTAATGAATACAATGAAGTTGATAGTAACAAATGCAACAGTATGATGGGATAACTTGAAATAACAATGAAATCCCTAAATACTTTAATAAATGGCCTGGACATGTATACATAGATATAAATACATAATATATGTACAGCTTTAGAGGAATAAAATATGAAAATGCGATAGCAATGACCAAAACGTAGGCATGCTGGATCAGCCAGAATTAAATGCTCATAGACTTCATATACCCAATTCAACCACAGGAATCAAACAAATGAATGACGGTGACATGAAGGGTATAAGAATAAGAATTGAGATGGATGAGACATGAATAATCTGGATCAGCCTCGTCCTCGTTATTTCTCGTAATGGTCTTTGTTGCATCAAGGGTCGATTCCATCAGTCAGTGCTAGACGCTTGCTGTGGCGCTGAAATACAGGCTATTAACAAATTGAAGTGAAAAAGCAACAAAAATTTTGACGAATACAAAAAAATGCAATTTTTCACCTCTTCAAGATAAATAGTCAGGGCTGAGGTCCCACGATCATGAATTGTTTTGATTCTTGGTATTTGGGGTCATTGTAGATTGGCGGCTGGAACAGAATAATGTATTTAGACAAAATACCTACTTTGCCTTCAAAAAACAAGACTTACTCTTTTGAGGTTGACTCTTTCTTTCAGCATCCATACGTAGCCGTCATTGTACTAAGGCAGTTGTGACCTATATTCAACATTGCTTTTATATTATGAAAAAAGAAGAGAAAGAAATGGCAACGGAAAGAAATGAAGGAGGCGCAACGACGCAAGAAAGCGTTATTGATTGAAAATGAGCGTCACTGTGTCACGGGGTCAATACGTTTAAGAACCAGAGGTAGAATAAAAGATATGCAAGACTGACTGAGAAACAATAGTGAATTTAAATGGAATAAAAGAGGACGTGCTACAAAAAGGCAAAAAAATCGCACATTTGGTTTCAAAACAATTTAAAAATAGAAGAAGAGTTGAAACAGCAAAGTAAAGGTGAGGTAATAAACAACACAACACCTTGTATGAAAAAAAACAAGGAGGAACGAGGAGAAACGATTATCCAAAAAATTCTGCATTTGCGCGCGAAAGCAAGCTCCCCCATCGCTTACGTGATGCTACAGAAAGTTCATTGCGCGCCGCCTGCACGCACACTGTGTCTGCGCGCCGCCTGCGAACATGCATTGCGCGCCGCCTGCGAACATGCATTGCGCGCCGCCTGTTGACTGAAATCAGTGCGCGCCGCCTGTGCGCTGCAGTGCCACGCCCACAAATCACGGCGCGCCGCCTGCCCTGCTGGCCGTGAGTGCGCGCCGCTTGCGCGCAGAATTGTCTGAGTACGGGCCCAGGCGTCTGCGAGTGTTAGTGTTAAATGCACGTGCCGAATCGCATATCGCGGTGAAACTGCGCACTAAAATTGCGTGAAGTATGCCTCGTTTTAAACTTGACTAAGGTCATTGATTGCAGTGGAAACTGCATTATTGATTCTGGCATTTTCATCTTCGCATGTTTGTCCGTTGTCATGACTTATCCTTCATTCGGTCAGTTTCCTTTATGAATCTGAACCAATATTAGGGTGTCAGCTCAATACTCCAGGTAGAATATGTTCGGTGCTGTCTCTCAATAGCCATCTTGTAGAGCTTGCTTTGACCTTGCAATGTTTGCTTACGCCACATCTACCGAAGGAAAGATACAAAAAGACGACGTTTCGGACAGACGCTAGCCCCCACACTAGCCATCGCGTTCATGTACAAGGTAGAAAGCCCGGTCCTGGATCTACACCCTCTTCTTTACTGCCGCTACATAGATGACTGCTGCATAGTGTGCTCAACTCAAAGAGAATTGGACACCTGTTTCGAACTTCTCAATCAGCAATCATCTCATATTAAGTTTACAAGCTGAGTGTCTGTTTGTCTGTCTGTATGTATGTCTGTGTGTACGTATGTTACGATAGAAAATTCCATTTCTGAACCGATCCGGACCAAACTTTGCACACATACACTTCGGGACCGGGCAGGTGTCATAGGCTACTTTTCGTTATCGATCGATATCGATTTTATCGATTTTTTGCTAAATTTGAGCTACGGGGCTGGGAGTTGGCACAGGGGGGTAATCGAGCATGCTGATTACGAATAAAATAATGATGACGGGGCCGGGCGGAGCCGGGTAAGCCAGCTAGTGTGAAATAAAGCTGGACCTCTGTAAACAACAACCCTTACGAAACTATGTGAACTCTTTGAGCAGAATTCTTTGATCTAATCTTTTTACTGCCTTTGACAACAGAGAGGCAGGCCAACTGGGGTTCGTGGATATCTAAAATCATTACGTCTTAATTGTGGAACTGTGAAGTTCCTGAGCCCTATCTCATAATTCTCGATTTTTGGTGCGAAAGAATACGATATAAAGGCTGCGAGATCATGAATTACAACTATAATATATGTATCAAAACAACATTCCCTGCTTACAAATCCCCAAATTCTATCAGGTTGGCTAAAAATAAGTTCGTTTTTAGCAGTTTGTAGAATTGTTACAAATCAACTTTTGCATGTATTTATGGTACCACTGGAAATAGCAAATCAAGGAGAATCCAACGGTTGACTCCTTTTTTTCAAATATAATTTTTCTGACAATGAAAAGGTGAAGGAAAGAAAATTGGTCCGATTTTTTCCTAAAAATTTCGAAAAGTCACGCTCCGAAAAACGAACTGAAGTCAGGTGTAAAGTGTAGATTCGCTACCCACACAACAAATTTTTGAATTTCTAACCATTTGCATGGCCATAGATGGCCAAATTCGAGTTATCTGGAATGCCCAAAATTTGATCTTCACGCGCAAATGCTGGAAATTTTCACAATTTTGAATGCAGAAGTTTAGAAACAGCAGGTCACAATCTCTAATAGGCTTCGCCACCTAGCCAGAGACTCGCCTGTGTACTCACTGCAGGCTGAGAACGAAAGCTAGAAAGTCAAAAAGGCGATTTTTTAGTCTGACCATATAAGGTTATAATTGTCATTTTTTGGTAACATGAAATCTTGACTTTTTATGAATCTTGACTTTTTATGAACATTTAAGAGTAGAGCTTGAAGCTAATTTCTCACGAAAAAATCCTAGCTGAGTTGCTGTTACGTGAATTGTTATGAAGCTTTTATTAGCCAACCTAATATTTTGTACAGACATGCAGTACGACGTATAGACGATTGAACATACGTGTTTTTTGCTCAGGGTGTACACATGCACTGGGTCAGCCTTGCTTCGGAGAGGAGGGGGAGGGGGTGGTAGAAGCAAAGACTGTATCGTAAAGTATTTTGAACATGAGATAACATTGACGTAACATTGAGTTTCACATGACGGACATAGTCCCACATGTTCTTTCACGCGCTCGCGAAATTGTAGCCAGCGTGATTGTAATAATTATAGTATGCGCATAGAGCATGCAGAAGCTACGAGATGTTGGCAGCGGCTCTAAAATAGTCAGAAAATTCCGTAGGTTTTCATGGAGTTAAAGGGAACTTCGTTCTGAACCATAAAAGGCTACTCGTGCAGGGTCCTTTCTTTGCCCTTTGTTCTTTACTTTAAAAACAATTGCACAGTACTAGGCATCGATTATATGCAGTATTCCTTCGGAAAAGTTAGGTTTCTGAACATCTCTCGCAAACAAGGGCTCTAGAGAAACGGTTGTGTTACAAGGATTTAATGCGCTTCGCATGCTTCAAGCATGTATGTGTATTTCTCCATAGGTTACCAAGTATGCTTGTCAACTTAATTTTGGCTGAATTCCCTTCTTTTCTTTTTTATCTTGCATATCTCGAGAACACCAACGAATTTGTTCGGGATTGCGGCTGAAGAAGGAGCGTTTCACTACTGGCGATGCTCAAGTTCCAGAATTTTTTCATAGATTGCAAAACAAAAAATTTTCAAGTGTACAGGAAGTAGAGCACAGTGCATCACATCCCTTGATTGTGTTTGGTGAACTGAATGAGTTGCTCCTAGAAACCCTTATAACTCCCCGCTCACTAATCTTCGGCAGCTTTGAAAAGCGTTGCAGCACTATAAGCTAGCATACATGCTCATCAAAAGACCGCTTTGACTGGCCATCCTTTCCTTGTTGAAAGATTTTGATTGTCAACCTTGCCATAGAGTAGTCTGATGCGTATTCCAAACAATGACAAATTTTATTAGTGCGCAGCAACGGTAGAACAACATTGGAATTTTAAAACAACAGAGAAATTGAATCTAGGTAATTGTTGCATAAAAACAGGCATGGCAGCGAACATGTAGTGAAAAGTCGCGGCAGAACTTACACTTGCAGCAAATTGAGAAAGCATCAGAAACAAGACTTCAACTCAAATATTACGCGTCATATATACAGTTTGCGATAAATACATGAAGAAAATGATAATAGCAGCCTCCCGCTCTTCTCGAAAGTGAGTAGTGGAAAAGTGCTAAACTACGACTTATACCCATATTGATACTCGAGAAACTGCCTTTCTTCGTCACTCTCCAGTTGGTGACCGATCTCCATCTCCTAAAATGGGTCACAATCTAGGATTTCCGGCTTAGCAGTACTTCAGTGAAAAAATTAAAGCACAGTTTTTCAAAAACTTGACTATCTTATCTCATGAATCTTGCTCCTTTGTGAAATTACACATAAACTCACTCAAATAAACGAACATATATATGAAGACAAATCTTGATGAAGTCCTCATACTATATAAAAGAATTATGCTCCACTTTTCAGTGCAACGATTTTCTCAAGTTTCTATTTATAATCTACTACGCATGATGCATAGAGATGTAAAAGTTGAGGAGGACATTCTTTCAAAAAAAATTCAGCTTTCAAATGCCCGTTGCTTCAAAAAAAATCATAAAGAGAACGCAGCTGCAGTGAATCTTCAACGCCGCAAACAAGGCCAGAGTTGATAAAAAAGAAATTTTTTTGCTAACAAGAATAAAAATTCAGAAACGAAGGAAATACCAAGAAAAGAAGGTCAAAATTCGACACAGTAATGCATTTGGCTCACGCGGCATTCTTTGCTCAACTTTCATTTTGGCAATAGTTAATCAAACTCACCTTTCTGCGAACCGAGTAATTTCCTCCCCTACGCTCTTCACAGCAACAAGTAACCAGAATCGAGATGAGAGCTACTGCAACCGCGCACAAAACGGCAATAAACCAAGCTGCACTTCGTAATGATTCTGAAGGTCATATTTTAAATTATTAGAACGAGATGAAAGTTGGCAGTGCATCACCTTGATTAAGATGAGAGACGTTCTCACTGTTAAGCGTGGTGATGTACAGCGGTTGACTGAATGCCAACTTATTCCCGTCCTTTGAAACTCCTACAAGCTGATACTTGGAGCCTTCGCGAAGCCCAACGACCTTCAAATAAGTGTTAGGGAGGTAGACCATGCCAGATTCGGAATAGACATTGGTATCTGAAACAATAGTTTTCAGAATCAAGAAATCGATTAATTTTATTCAATAGTTGGTTCTGACCGCTGACCTGCAAGAGAGTAGTTTACGTAGAATGAAGAGCCAGGCATTCGCCATACGTTGTGATTTGATGGCTTCCATTCGACTTCAACGCTATCCAGTAAGACGTTTTTGACCACAAATGTAGGCGGATCAGGGTCTGAAATTCAAAGATTGAGCAAACTTTCTTGGATGTAAGAAAACACCCTACTTCTTGCCGGCCACGTTCTGACCGGCCTCATACTTCTTTCGCCCTCTCCAGCACTCGTCTCACCCCATACAGATACTTTATAAGCAGAGTCAGGATCGCATTTTTCATGAAGATATGCCAGCTGGCGATGTAGCACGTATGTTTCTTCGGTCTCATCTGGAATATTTGTTTATTGTAAATGTGAGCGGTTATTGGAACGGAACGTACTTCGGTCATTTTCGAAGGCTAAGAAGTATCCTCGCAGCAGTCCGTTAGGGTGTTTAGGTGGCTCCCAAAGAGCAAGCACTGCATGGGCTCCGACAGCAAAAACTCGCAGATTACTTACTTTCGATGGTACTGGAAAAGACGAGATTAGGTTACTGTTGATGAATAATCGATAGAACAGGTGGAGCAAAAAAATTTTTGAGCAGAGCGGAAGTCGAGGGAATTTTTGAAAGGCAAAGCTTTCTGTATAAGACTGTTTTATTTTGGCCACAAATACCTCTAACTGAGATTTCCAATTTTCGTGAGCTCGTAGCCCTACGTTTCCGAAAAAGAATTGCCAGAAAACTTCTCAAGGCAAATTCAATTTGCAAAAAAAAATTTTAGGAAAGATTCAGTTTTATTGAATAAACTAACATCCTTCCGGTGTTGCCCAGTGCACCGCCGGACTTGGTTCGCTAGCATGATGTCGATTTTTTGTTCGAATAACCGCAGAATAGTTGGAGTTGGCTGCCAGAGTCGTGATCAGCTGAATATGCGAAAATAGCGAGTACTTGAGCAAGAAACATTTAGTCTAAATGCACTCACTTTCTCAGTTTGGTTTGGTAAAGCAAGTATACGATACTTCCGTGCGGGTAGATTATCGCGCCAAAACTCTATCTAGAACAGAAAAAATTTAAAGTGAAAATATTGCAAGTGGTACTGTTGTTACACACTTCATAACCACGGAAAAAACCGTTAACAGTGGATTCCGGCACCAGCTCCCAAGCAAAGTTGACTGAGGAGAAGTTTACGACTTTCTCAATACGGAAGTTACTTGGGGTTTCCGATGGCACTAAAAATTTCTGAGTTTTACATGAAATATTTTCTGGAGGAATTAGGAAATTACCATCTTCTCCCGAGTATCCCTTGATGACTTCTGGTTCTAGAATGCTAGGCCCAATTGCATTAACAGCTCGAACCTGTACCAAGAATTCACGATAAGTTGGCTGTTCGCGGATGATTGTGTGGTTCTAAAATTCCATAATGTTTATTTGCTCAGAAATCTGAAAAAAAAATAAAATTTCTGGCGTAAACTTACCGCTTGAGAGTCTTCCACTAGGAATTCTGTCCATGCTGTATGTGGTTCGTTCAGCTTATATCTATAAGAAACACAGCTTACAAATTTTGAATGGAATAGTGGTTTACGATACCTGACAAGATACTGTAGATTAGGTGCATTCCAATAATACTTGTCCATTGGTTCCCAGTACACTACCAAGTTGTCCGGCTCCGTTCCTTCTGCTCTTACTCCACCAGGATTCGAGTACGGGAATGAAGGTCTTGTTTGGCACGAAACGGTTTTGACCTCGTCTAAAATGTAAATTCTTGTTGTAAGGTGTGCGCTTAACCGTAGGTGTACTTCTAGTTTTACGTTGTTATAGCGAAGAAATCGAAAAAGAATGTCAATCCCATAAATATGCAACTCGTTTGTTACATTAAGAACACCAAGAACATGTAGAAAATAGCCAGAAAATTTATTCTCCAATTTGATAAGGCTGTGTGGTTTCTGTTAGTCGATAACATTTTGGTTTGAAGAGTGTTTCTGTTTGCTTTTGGGCGGGATCACAAATAAGAGCCGGATTACTTACTCGACGATCTGAGAGCTATCGTGTTTCTATCCGTTACATTGTTAAAAGAAAAAAAGATAAAGAAAAATGAATTATCAAATTTCACAAATTTGGATTTTGCAACACAACTTATTAGAACTAGGCATATTAATCTGAATAAATTTTGCATATAGCTCTGCTCAAAGAATTCCTCTACATCCTCCAGTCATGTTTATTTGAAGTTTTCAAAAAGTTTCGTTCATTTTTGTAGACGTCTGCTGAAGAAAAATTTGTTTAGTATGTGACTGCCAAGGACAAATTTTCAAACCTTCTTTATCTAAAGCAGCGTTCAGATCCGAGCGACCGTGGGAATTCTCAGCAATCACTCGGAAGGTGTAATTTACCTGAATGGAATTTTCACAAATATGAAGAGGATATTATATAAACGATGGAAGGAGTGCTCTTACCCAAGGTGTTAAAGTAACATCAGCCTCGAAGTGCTCTTTTTCAACATTGAGTTCGTCGACAACGCGTTCCCAAATGTTCTGCAGAATTTGTAAAATTCGATTATTGTCATTTTTGGAAGTGTGACTTGTTTACCTTGCGGAAATCCGTGTGCATCTCTACTGTATACTTCTTTATCTGATCGCCATGCTCATCCGAGGCTTTCCACCGTATGACTGCTTTTCTTTCAGAGCATATAACGGGTTCTAGAATTGGATGCGCGGGGACATCTAAAAGCTAGCATTTTAAATGGCAGACTGGGTTTGCTTTAAGAAAACTATAAACCTTTCACTATAAGCTTCATAGATGCAAGTTTAACGTCGACATCTGTGACTGCAGCGCAGTCTATCAGTCCTGAGTGTCTGCCACGAGCTGCATTGATACGCAGTCGATCCGGAAGTATACTAAGAATTCTTGTGTGGCCAAAGCGATTAAAGCATAACAATGTGCGCTTACTGGAAAGTAGCGCTCTCATTAATTATTTTGCCGTTGATCGTCCACTTGTAGTGCACTTGAAGTCGAGGATCTGCTATGGCTTCACAATGTAATTCGGCTGAGTTACCAGCCTCTAACCACAGCTTCTGAGGTGTTGGAATCTTCACGAAGTATGTTGGCTCTGTAAGTTAAGATACGGTAGGAAGAGAGAGGGAGAGAACTTTTTGCTTGCTGCTTACTGAAAACTTGAAGCCTATTGGTTGCCCGAGCGATTCCATACTTATTCGATACATTGCAGTAGTAGAGTCCTTCATCAGCGCTGCTTAGGTCTTGAATAATGAACGTGTTGTTCGGTAGTAACTGCAATTGCTGATTCATTAACTATTTTCGTGAGCTCTGTAATTGTCCTCTATATCGCCCCAGTGTTGTTCTACAGATGAGAACTTTTTTAAAAACCTAATGTATGAACTTTTTCGTTTGCACTTTCAGGATAAGACAAAGAAAGTCAAGGTCGAAGACTAAAACGGTTGATGGCGCTCACTTGTGTTTTGTTTGTTTTGAATTGCTCTTGAAATAGATGATAGGAGGGATAAAGCGAAACAGCATGAACTACATTTTTTCAAAATTTTGAGGTTTTCTGAGAAGATCTACGATTTTTGTGACTTGTATCAGAACATTGCAATTTAGTTGATGAAAAATGACGAGAGGCATTGTTTCATTTGTTTTAAGATTGCAAAACAAATGAAAACCGATGGAAAGCTCACTACTCAATTCTTTATCAAAAATTTAAGTGCAAATTTGTGCTCCTGATGCGCATTAAAGATTCTATAGCAAATCAAACGTGATTTTCACGCGAATATTCTTGTACCAAAATTTTGGAGACGTGAGATTTTCTCGATGTTCAAGGGCGGTATGATAAAACTATAAATGGAGCATTTATTGCGCTTTTTGAGTCAATTCAACGATATACCAAAGATAGAAAGTAAGTGGAACTTCAGACCAAAAAAGGATTTGCATAAGGACACACATTAGCTGTGAGATTGAATCAGATGAGCTGAAGCCAGAAGTGACTTTACAACAAATTCTTGTACTGTCATCAGTTATATAGAAGAGATTACCAAGAAAGATTGACATTGAGTTTCTGTGTGTTTTGCAGATCATAAGCCACAGCACAATGCGGCTTAGCTCATTGTTTTTATGGGTCATCAAGCCTGATTTACTCTCTGGAGTGCATTTCATTAGATATTTTTCGAACTATGCTATCCAAGTCTTTCAAAATAACAACTTTCACTGAAAAAGCTCCGAGTCATCATACGAGGGTCGGAAATTGATTCAGCTTTACTACCACCCTGACGCAACACTCCACAAAGATAAGTTTCCTACAAATGTAATTTCTCATAGTCATTTGGTTTACACCGTTGATTCATTGCAATTAACACTCTGCGGTGGCAGTGATTTATGATTGAGACGAGTTAAACACTCATTTCTGGATAAAAATATGGGTTTTTACAGGAAGTTTTTTGAGTTCGAAAAAATGGAAGGCCGAAACTTTTTTGTCTGCGAAGGGTCATATAGCCCACCTGCGTTTTTCCCTCAATCACTCTGAGAGGGGTGTCATCGCGATCCACCCATCTGACAACAGGGTCCGGAGCAGCTTCTACATCGCAGTTTAGTGATACGGTACTTCTTAGTACAACTTTCCAAGTACGGTGGGATGGCATAAGAAAGCGAGGGGCATGAGCTGTAAAAATGAGAATTTTTTGAAAATATGACGTCATGCAAAATACCTTTGACATTGACGAAAGCATTGGCGTACACGTATCCTAGAGGGTTGGACGCATTGCACTGGTAGACTCCGGTATCGAGATCGTGATTCAACGATGAAAGTCTTAGAACTCGTCCGTTATCCAGCAAAAGTCGCCGAGGGTCCTCACCCAATTCTGAAATACGAATATGTACCTAATTCATCTAAGAATTGGCAGAAAAATCACCATGTAAGGGCTTTCCGTTCATACTCCATCGTACTATCGGCGCAGGTCGACCAGATGCGAGGCATTCCAGTTCAGTAGTGCTCTCTTCCGGTTGTTCAATGTCTTTGGGAGGATCGAAATCCCAGTAAGGAGCAGCTGCAAAGAAAGATTTACGTATTTCCAAAAACAGAAGAAAACTATGGAAATTGCACAAAAGGAGAGACACCGGAATTCGTCTCTTCCAAGTATTATTTTCAAACATAAGCTATACAACTGCACAAAATCTCGTATGCAAAATACACTAGGCCACACTGTAATATTTATCAGGATTCTTATGATGGTTATGACCTAGTACAGCAGTAGTGGAAAAAGTTTTCGATGGCACTTCGATTGGTACTTTTCCTTTCACAGAAAATCTTGATTTTTTCTTACAGCTAAATCTGCTATACTCAGCACTAGCGCTTTATGAAGTGCGAGTGTTCCCATGAGATCTATCGAAAAATCAGTGATATAATTAACAACTCCGAAAGTTCAGAAGTCAGCTCTATCGCGTTTATCAAGAAAATAAACCCCTCTCAATTAATTTGGAGATGGGAAAACCTTTTTTAAAAAAGGATGAATTTTTTTTTCTCGAAGGCTGTGAAGCTTCTTTTCTATCCAGTCTGATTTTCAATACAATACGAAGAAGATGACTTTAGGGCTAATGTGAAGGAGACCTATCTTTGCTTTAAATAAACAAATGCAAAGAAATCACTTACCCAAAACTCTCACATTCACTGAATGTGACAACTCGCCAGACCGGCATTCGTATCGGCCTGCGTCCTCCGGGTGAACATTCTCTATGAGTAGAGTCTTTCCAAAATCGCTTTCAGGCAAGGTCAGATCTTTCAAGCGCGATTTTGGCAGGTTATTATCAACTTTTGACCAGAAAATTGCAGGAAGGGGTCTAAAGGAAATCATTGTAGTGGAAATGATGTAGCTGTAAGTCATAATTGTACGTTATATACAATTAAGGAAAGTTAATTCTCACCTTCCACCGAAGATGCATTGCAGACGTAGTGTTCCACCAGCTTTGACGGTAATTTCACTAGGACTCACGTATAATTTGTGGACAGGCACTGTTTCAGGACCTAAAAAAGCATATGAATTTCTTTAACTCATGTTGAACGGTATGGAGGAAATTCCAGAAAAGGATTGCGATCTCTGAATGTTATTTCTAGCTGCTGACTGCGTAATTTGCATAACCAAAAAAGCCAAGTCTTTCCCCGCTCCTCCTGAAATAAAAAGGCCCATATCCGCTCCCCCAAGCAATGTGGTTGCCGAGTCCATAACTCATCGAACTCGTTTGCCTCACAAATGGCGTGCCAATTGATTAAACAAAAACGGCTATAAAGCCACCAAGCTGCTCTATTCGACAAATCAGAGTAGCTCGTAAAGTAATGGCTAGTGAGCTTTTTCATGGAGCAGAAGGGGATAATGACAGAAACCGCGGAAAAATCTTTGCAAATGGTGTCAACCGGATCTGTATCCATAGATTGAACACGATGCCAGCATACTTAGTTTCAGACAAGATCTAGTGAATCTAGAGCTTTTGTGTCTTTTGTCATATTCTCCATTCTACATTGAAAAGTGTCTATTGAATTGATAGGCTGTGTTTGATAGTAACTCATTGAAGTAGATCTTGAGAACGACTAAATTAACATGAGAAAGAAATTTTCCAGGAAAGGGTGTTGTCACTACATCCCTTTGAATGAGATTTATGTAACAGGTTACAGAAAGTTTGAAATATAGGAAAAAGCTTTGTAGCTCCTCCTGTCCGCATTTCAGAGACCGTCAAAATGCCAGAGTACATATGCATGTCAATTTTTTGATTATCAATCTTGTCAAAACATTATTTTGAATTTTGAAGATTAAAGTCGGACAACAAAGCATGATCGGAGAAAACTTATATCAGAGGAACACAAGGGTTCGAAGATTTGCCAATCATCACCTTTTATACAAAAAGTACACCTCAGTGGCGATCCGAAGAAATTTCTTTTTGGAAGAAGGGACGCCATCGACATGTTTAAGTGAACAGCGTGGCATAATTTGAAAAAATCTTGGGATGCTTTTAACCTCAAAGCTCAATTTTTTACGAAGCTAATCAAAACTTTCGTAAAATTCCAAAAAATTCCAATCAAAAGTCAAAACAAGTCACTTGCGCAGTTTCGGAACTCATAATTAAATGGTGCCGAATTCATTCAAATTGTCGACTAACCTTCCCTGGGTGTCACTTCGAGCTGCACGTGATCACCCGATCGGTATTCTCCATGAAGCACAGGTGATGCAGCAGCACATTCGTAGATTAAATTCTATAAAAATTTTCTCCACTTTAAAAATATTTTAGTAAGCAACAAAGCAACAACACACCGGTCGCCCATCGTGGAGTTCTACGGACGAGAATTGCAGTTTGCCATCACCATCTACGGTGATATGTCGTTTTCGAATTGATTCTATGACTGATCCCTCTTCAGTATCCCTGAAAAAGCAGGAAATTCAGATAATCCTTCTGCTATCACCTGTGGAATTTGTGCTTGAATGGTTTTTTCACAATTTTTATATTTTTGTATTCTTTCCTTTTCTTCATGAAAATTCTCGCTTCTGATCCCCTAAACTATAATACACATGTTTCTATTAGCCCCCAAGAAAATCCATCATTTTCGCAGTCTCATGGCTTATCGCATTAGCAGGGGTAATGCAGCCGAGGGGAATTAGTTACTCCACTTCGGCCAGACCTCATTCCGGCCGAACAAAAGAACAACAGCGTGCTTTGGAGGCAAAAATTTGCCATGAGTTTTGGAGTACTTGCTCTCGTTACACATAGGACTCAGGAGTGCTCGTATAGCTTGTCCTAATACTTGAGTAAATGGCGACAACTCTGAGTCGCCAGCAATGAGATTAGATTGGGGATAATAAGATTCTGCCATCAAAAGCAACCATGAAATTTTCTCTCGTGTTGTTTTGATTAAAGTGGCGACAAAAAATGAAGTAGTGAAATGGACCTGTGGACCTTGCAGTCTAGAAAAATTCCAGGAGTAACAATGGTTCTTTTCGCACAATGTGGGTCTGCTAATTGGTTATTACACTGGCAGTAATTACCACGGATTGATGATTCGCAGGCCTAACACGACTGGTTATTAGGTCAGAGTGGGATTTGGCCCAAGTGAAAAAAAAACAAAGGGCTAGCAAGATAAGGCCCTCGAAGAATCAGGCAAAAAAGACTACATATTGTACAAAGTAATCTGAATGCATCTCAAAAACAGAATGGAGATGAACGGAGTGCATTTCTAGTAAGTCGATATATCGATCGGAAGCTGTTGACTTCGTGTTACGGTAGCTCAATATCAGCAGAGGTTTTTCATCTATTCAGTAGACTTCAGACATCATTTTTCTCTGATAAGGACTCAACAAATAAGTCTATAAATGCCTGATTATAATATTGTTACTTGTAAGAAATCGCAGAAGATTATTTCAAGAAAATTTTCTAAATAAAAGTTGTTTCTTTCAACATAAAATACTTATTAGCAAGCGCGCTGACGTGTTCTAATGGAAGGTGCTTCAATGCTAGATGTTATCCCCGATGAGAAATTTTCCCGGGAAACTGACACTGTGAGACTTGAGATTCTAGTGCTCATTTCATGTCAGTTAATGACTGCACAGCAAAACTGCGATAGATAAAGATACTGTAAAACACAACAGTCACTTGAAATTTTTATAGGTGCATTTGAGATCTTGTGTGCGTATGTATACATAAGAAATACGCCGCTGGCTTTTCTCGTGGTTTTTTCAATCGATTCTATCGATTTATTGATTTTTAGAGCGATTTAGTCCGTGAAGCCTAATACTTGCGAACAAATGCTAAACATTTTACGAGTTCGGAAATTATAAAGATTGCCTTTCAAAAACCATATTTTTGAGAATAATCTAGTGTAAACTACTGTAACACTGTTGTATGCATTTGGCGTTTCCAGACGTACCTATAAAGCCAGAACAATGTCGGAGGCGGTGTTCCTCTCGGGGCTATACAGTCGATGGTAAGTGAGTCTCCCTCCATCACTTGTATCTTCCTCATTGGTCGTTGTGGAAAATGTTCGAGCACTAAAGCACATGCACTTCAATTCTTTTACGCGCGTTTCTCAGTGGGGCGGTAATTGCTTCGCACCCGTACCGCCACTCGATGATTTTGTCACTGAGCTCCGAATGCCCGGCTGCTCCCCCGGGAACCGCCACTCCATCTAATCAGAGTGTTTTCCCCGTCACTAACAGACCCAACACATTCGATCTCTAACCGAAAGAGAGTTATGGGGCAGAAGCACCGCCAGGTAGGTGCTCTGCGTGAGTTTTTTTCGCAAGTCGGCTATTAGTTGAAAAAAGATTAATGGCTGGAGGTTTGTTCGCTCTAATGGCCCCCTGACTGCCGATGTGCGAACGGCGGTGGTCGACAGGACCAACAGCTGGGCTATCCACACACAGAGAAATTCTCTCAATTGCCAGCGCTAACTCGATCATGTCACATCACACTGCGGTCACTGCATTTTTGGGATAACGGAATTGCTGTGACGCTGCTCTATTGCAGAAAAATCGAGCATTTCGAAAAAAATGGCAAAAAATGGCAAAAAAAATCAAATAAAAGCAGTGTTCATTCCTTTCAAAAAATCTGGGAATTTCTTGCGAGTAAAAGTTACTGACGGCAATGGCGTGCTCAGCTCTAATTAGATCGAGATTAGGGTTCAAGAAGGCAATTTAAAAACCACATTGCATGGGTTTTGCGAGAAGAGTTGCTTAAGCAAAAGATTAAACAACAAAAATACAAACATTACGACAAGAGTGGAAGTGAGATTGTTCCGTGTTTTTAAGAAACCTTATTAACCTCTAGGAACGGCTAATGAGTAAAAATAACTCAGCGAGATCTGGTAATTAAGGGCAATAAAATTTCAAATACTCAGTAATGATTTTATTAGCAAAAAAGTGATTTGATTCAAGCAGAAAATTCAAGAGATTCTGAAAATAGAAGTTTGAAGAAACAAAGTAAACGAGACATAGTAGGAATATCTTCGACTAAAGTTTAGCGCCCTTTAGGCTTTAGATTTCTTACAATTAGCATGATCAAAGATTTACCATCATACTCAAAGTTCAAAGTGATTTTCGCCCAAGTCGTGATGGAAAAATATTATTTCGAGTAAAAAAATAATGTACGACCTTTTGGCGGTTTTTGGAAGAGGCAAGTTCTTGTGCAAATGTTCATTATAATTGGAAAGAGTAACATAATAGAAACTAATGATCAGTTCCATTTTAGGAGCTTAAAAAGTGTTTTTAGAAAGGTAGGTATATTACAGTTGTCTTCTACTACAGATAGAAAATTTTGAATAGTTATTCTATGTATAATGTAAAGGTTCAGGATTTTGTAATTGCGTGTCAAAAAATATTTTCTAGCTAGCCTAATAGTATATGAGTATTTATTGAGTTTTTATGATAGTATTGTGAGAAGCCCCTATACTCCATTTTTTGCGTAGTACCCACCAATTTCTAAATTCTTCTCTTGCGCTACCCAATTTCTCAGGGCATATCCCCAGAGAATTTATACGCTCTGGTGCTAGACTTTTTCGAGCAAATTAACAAAAAGTTATCCTTTGCGCGAGTAAAAGAAATTAATCAAGTCACCAGCAGACATTGCTGCAAAAGGCACTTTGCAGAAATTGAGTTTGAAATGTCTTAATCAAATCTGCTGAGAATATTTATTTTTGGCAGCAAAGCCGTTAATGTTTGAAGAAGGCAAAAAAGTGAAACAAACCTCCCAGACGTAGATGCACTTTGTTGGAAACGGCAGTACCGAAAATATTAGAAACGAAACATTGATAGTAGCCTTGATGATATCGTTTCGGTCGAACGAATTGTATGGTCCCAGATTGGCCAGCTCTTACCCACTCGATATCTCCTCCAATTCTTAGGGGTACACCATTTTTGTACCATGTAAATCTGTAAGCGATTTGGATCAATGGTCTGCTGGTTACTTTAAGTTATTGTAATCCTCTGCTTACGAATCCGCATTCTCAGAAGCTTGACACTTCAGTGTTGGACGAGCATGAGGGCTCAGATTATCGTCCAGTTGGTACCACACTTCCTCCGGTGGTTGTACGAGAAGTTTTGGGGGACCTCAAAAAATTTAGTCTTTTTTCTGATTGGCAGTACTTGAGTAGGTTTGTTTGAGCGTTATTTCTGTGCTGTACTGAATGAAATCAAACACACATAAATGGATTGTTCACGACGTTACTCAAATCCTGCCCAGGGCTCGGTACAGGTGGCAAATTGGATATCTTTTCTGGGACAAAAAGCAAAGGGGATATCGTTTTATGGGTCCAAAATTGAGTTTAATACTCGATTCGGATTTCGGGTAAGGATCAAAGGGGGTTCGGTGATTTTGCGAAAATCAAGGGGACTTAATTCTTAGCTTTGGAAAGCCACCTTTTCCCGAGCTCTATTCTGCCTCGCCTTGAAACAACATCAGAAAGTATAGGATTAACAGATTGTTACAGAAATGTGAACTGAAAAATTAGAAAAAAAATAAACAAGAGAGCACCATTTTCAAGACTTATGTTTTGTTTTTCTTTTGAATTGTGCCCTTTCATCAAAAATAATATGGCATCTAACATAATGAATAAGATGTGTCCACAATTTACGTTGACAAACTTTGATTGAACTTTGATTTTTTGTTAGATCGACACGAACAAAATGAAATTGAAGTTGTTTTTTTCAAAGATTTTTCCTTCTCTTCCAATTGGCATACAACTTTCAAGTTTCGATGAATTCACTACCTCTAAAAAGGCTGGTTTGAGCAAATATTCACTGAAAAACAGTGCGAGACACTTCCGATAGTTCTCACCGATATCGCTACCTTTCATCGGACGCAAGTATTTAAGATTAGTTTTGGTCATCTTTTCAAATTTGACTTGTAAAAATTTTGTGGATACATGTTGAATATAACTTTGGAAAAATAAATTTTTGAAAGTGCATTTGGCACGCTATTTTCAACACCGATAAGGTCAAAAAGGGAAATCTTCAGATTGAACAGCTGTTTATCCCCTCTCAAATATATTCTCTGCAGAATTTTTTTAGCCTTCCAAACTAACCGAATGTAGAGCTGCCAGCATTTGCTAATTCCAGAATGGCAAATGCCCCTATAATTACCGTCACCATCGCATTGGGACCAATCAGTCTGGTGAAACGGCTTTTCTGGAAAAATCTTTGTCATACGAGGAAAGGGAAATGCTTTGAGATAATGAAGGCGGAAGACTGAGGTCTTCCAAAAATAAATTTGGAAGCACGAAATGCTGCCACACAGCCAGCAGACAGAAGGAAGGAAGACTGCATGAACAATCCAATCTGGACGAGCTAATTTGCAGTGGATGCGCAAGAATCATGCTTAGAATAGCAATTGTGGCCCCTGTATTTGCATATCGCCTTATTACGACATCCCCAGCAATTAAAGACGGACGGACCAGCCGGTGGCTGTTACAGCCGAGAATTTTTAACTGCCCCACACCTGGCGTTGTGCTAATCAGGCGTAAGAGAAAGTGATCAGTGCTATGCGGAAGGAAGGCTCGTGTGCTAGGGAGGGGGGGGGGGGGAGTGGGAGGAAGAAGACATTTCGCTGTTCTGAGGGATCAAATGGGTCGGCGATGCTCGCGAATAGCCAGCCAAGCCCTTCCGGAATAGAAAATTACTCGAGCACCAAAGGCAGACCGCCCCCGAAGCGAACGTCCGAACTACGGCATCGACATCCTCAATCAAACTGTCGCCACCCGTCAGGGGGTAACGCCTCCCCGTGCGAGATTTTTTTTTTCGCCTCCACGCCGCTTCCCCCCTAAGTCTTAAGGAAAATTTCATTTGTCCCTGCGGTGATGAAACGTTGGAGAATCGATGATTTTCGGGAGCAGTCGTCCTGTTATTGGCGGCTTCCGCCACCGAGCAAAGGACAGAGCTGAATAGACTAAATCAGTGGCCCCTTGTGAAGACGTCAGCGACGACCTCCGATTTAGCGGCTGCAAACTCGCAATGCGCTTCCACGTCAAGGGCAAAACCAGTATCAAAGTTCAGAGAGCGAGCTGAGTGAAGAGTTAGTTGCATAGGCAAGAATGAGTAACCAGATATGGGAATCGAGTAATCTTCCCATGCTTGAGAGTGAAAATGAGTCGCATGCATTATAGAAGCTCTCCAGGCTTTCAAAATCTACGATACGCGCTTGATGCCTCATTTTTTTTTATGATATTCGCATCCGTCTCAGAAGTCAGGCATGGCCAAGCAATAGCGAGGTTGCCCCGAAATAATCTAAAAAACTGGCCGTACAAAATTTCACATATTTTGTATTGCATTGTTACCTTGTATACTACTCTTTTTGGCGCATCGCTGAGTACATTGCATAAATGAATAAATAAATATTAGGTAATCAAAATCTGTTTTATACTAGCATGATGAAAGTATTGAACCATTTAAAAATTTTCATTATCAGTTCCTGGATCAAATTCAACTTTACAGTATGGTGTCCATGGAAGAAAATCGTTTTGATGATTTAAAAAATGTCGGAATTGTTTTTGGCTAATTTTCAACCTCGCATCAAACGCTTAGGGTCAGACCGGATGGATCTTTAAGGATAAGCAAATACAAGTATAAAAATTCTCAGAAAATGAGACGGGCTAAAAGCCTGTTGGAAATTTGAGAACTTGCCATTTCCTCCAAAAAAATTCTGTGCACTCTCTCAGAAAAAAATTTCTTTATCACTGCATTATGCATTTTGATGAAAAATAAAATATGTGAAACTTTTCGAAAATTTGAAAGAAAAAGTAAAAAAAACCATGAAACTCATGGTTGAACAAGAATGAGTGAGAAGTTACGGCTGAGTGGTAGCTTATTTCTGTTTTATAAATGCGGTGTTTTCGGTTCATGTTTCCAGCATTATAAGTGTAATAGGTTAGCACATAAGTTTTACGACTAATTTTGTAACTTTTCTTTTTTTGAGTGTAACGTTTATATTTAGGCAAAATGTAGATTAGATGGTAGGGTACAAATGTGCGCAAACAGTTTGATTTTTGATGACAGAGTGGAGAAAATGCACGCATTTTTCGAAAGCAGGTCAAAATCGAAATTTCAAAGGTTCGAAGAACAAAAAAGTCGTTCTTAGTCTGAATCAAAGCAACAAGCCGAAGCTGTATGATCAGAAGAGAGTCTTCTATTGAAAATCTGGATACAGTTTTGTTTTCATGTTTTTCATTTAGACTGAGAAGGGCTTTATTTTTGGTTTTCCGACTCGTGAAATTTCGAATTTCCAGCTCCCGAAAAATGCGTAAATTTTCTCCATTTTGCTACCAAAAACCAAACTGTTTGCACATACTTGTAGCCTGGTATCTAATCTACATTATGCTCAAAAATAAATGTGTCACACTCAAAAAGGGAAAAGCACAAAATTATTGTAGAACATATGTGAACCTATTACTTAGAATGGCTGCCAAGCCGAATCAGAGCAACTCAATGCGTTTACGCAGTAACTCTTGTAGTAAGTTGTGCGCTAACTCAAAAAAGCATATAGAATGCACTTTTCAGTATGTAATAAATGCATTACTTAGGCAAGCAGCTTAGACATCTCGTCTTCGTAGAGTGTAGATCCCACGCAGACATTCGCTGCAAGAGCATTTAATATTCAGCGCGAGTTACTTGACGATGAATGCGCAAAGAAATGCATTTGTATCATGACAGTAGAGAGATGATAAGCAATTAATGTTGGTCTCGTATCGGATAATTAATATAGTTCATCTTTTGATTATAAGAAAAAGATCGTTAGAAAAGTGTGTGTACTGTAACTATTTGAGTCTACAATAAAACAGTTATGAATACTGAGTTCATGAAAGCATTATTGTAAGAAATAGACTTTTGTCATTGTGGTCCATAAAATGGAAAAAGAAGACTATATGTGTAGAAGTTTTTGTGATCCAGTATCTAAGAGTTCAAAAATCAAATCAATATATGGACGTTATAGCGCGCTTATATGCAGATAAATATAAATTACAAAGTATGCATATAATTAACAAACATGTAGAAATAGGATAGTTATGATCTTCTTCAATATGATTGTTTGTATGATTTTTTTGGATAACTTTGACATACTTTTTGGATTTTTTTCAAAAATTTTTGGCGCACTTTTGTGTATAACATAAATAAATTAATTAAATTTTACAAAATATGCATATGGGTGAACGCAAAACTATTATGAGAATGAGATATGCGTGGTTAGAGGAAAAATTATGTGGCTTAAAGTAAATGACTCACACTTACAGTGCAAATTATTTCTTCTCCCTGACAAGAACTATTAATGGATAAAATGGCAGTTTCTCAAGTTTTTTGTCTCCGAAAGTAATGTGCACTGCACCTGCTCCATAATTATTCATACCTTAAGCTGCAGAGATAATAATGTCGTATCTTAGGCGACCGCGACAGTAAAGCACCCACAAGGACAATGAAGGTACCATTTATTAGAGGGCAGCAAGTTTTACAAAACCTTCTGGCATAAGAGATTTGCATGACTCGAAATTGCATAAATATGAAAGCATCATCTCTCCCCCCCCCCCCCCCCCACCTCCCCCTTCCCCGGAGGCTCGAAGCACAAAAGCCAAAATTTTCGCCTTGATAAAACTCTTTATTACTCCACCTATACAATTTCAAAGCATTAGGTTGTAACAGAATTAATGCAGGTTTTCCAAATTTTGAGTTTGGACTACTATAGCTTTTCAAAGAAATATTCAATCGTTTGCAGTAAAAACTAATGCAATCAGCAAGCCTTTGCCAATTTAGTACGCACTGCTAGTCGTTGTAGCTTCACCGACAAAAACTTATAGCCTGACTGCCAAAAGTTTTCTTGGAAAACCTTTAGTCTGAGAGACCTCAACTTACTAAACAACCTAGTAGGATGATACAAACTTCACTCATATGTATATGGTAATCGGTTGTGCAGCAGCGTTAAGCTTAAATTTTTTGAAAAAATTTCTGCTAGAGAATATCGCAAAAAATTTTTTGATCAGTCATTCTTATCAATTGCTCTGAATAAGCGAAAAGTCGTTTTTTGCTGTATTTTTTGAAAATTTTGTTGCCGCCGAAAAGAATAACAGCCTGCGATTTTTTTTTGCTATCAAATGTCCTATGTATTCTGCAATTCCTTCACGCTTGGAATTTTTATACGCCGCAGAATGACAGCAGCGGTTATTTGGGTTTGAAATGAGTTCTCTCAGGAATTTTATTTCAGAAACTAATGAAATTATCTAGAAACTCTTGAAAAATCTGCTTCAAGGTGCATTTTGTAGCGCAGGTCACATGCAAACATTACGCCAGTCTGCAGAACATTCCGGTTTTTCGCGGCGTATTTAGAGCAAAAGTTTAGAAGGAGAAGATTTCAGAGTGATTTCTCTATGAATCCACTCTCCTTGAAATGAAAGCATGATCGGGAAGCTAGAAGAAGAGTGCTTTCAGATGATACGTATAGTTTCCTAATAGAATGGAATTTTGTTTTGAACCAGCACTTTGAAAAAGAGATGTGAAAAACCTGCATCAAATCTGTTACAATCTAATAGAAGCATAGCTCCATTTTGTGGAAATATTTGGAGAATGGCAAACTCCCCTCTTAGCAGTCCTAAGTTTTTTCTATGAGTACTATAACCAGTAAACATCACAGAGGTGCTTTTGGACGGGAACGAGGAGAATGCAGAAACAAAATGTTCTTCGACGATGGGTTGCATTGGGTAGGTGTTCCGAGCATTTTCTTAGCAGATTTTGGCCATGGAACTTGCAGAAGGCCCGAGCATTTTTTTTTCGCAAAATCAAGTTAATTTCAAAACATCTGAAACTTTTTTCTTGCAAACAAGCAAACTGTAACGCATTCTTATAGCTCAATGTAGACATTTTTGAGGGTTTATTGATCCAATCTTAGAGAAAAGGACTTCTTCTGCGTCCAACATTTCAAGCAATAAAATATTATTATCATGTAGTGAGTTGAACAGTACAGTGTCCTAAGTCCTAGTGATTCCAATTTTAGCTTGCAAAACGACATTTTTTTAGCCTGATAGGTGCAGCAGGTTGATTTGCACCGAAAATAAAAACGTTGCTGCTGTACTACTTTGCTCAACTACATTCTATGAGCTACAAATATAGAAAGTAATTAACACGACATTGGCAGTTAAGCAGCGTGTAGCTATACGGGGCACTGCCTTAATGCTCGCAATTCTCTTGCATAGTCATGGAGCAGACAAGGGTAAATGGCTAGTCTGCAAGTGACAATAGAGTGTTTTTTCGTAAAGTGAAAAAACTTTCGTTCTTTCTGCAAATGGCAATGATCCACGAGCTTGATGTTTATATTTGGTTGCAGAGGTTCTAGATAGAAATCATTAAAATTCAATTCCTTTCTGGGAAACTAGTCAATTTGTACATATACTTCAAGCAGTGGCGGACCGAGAGAGGGGAAAAGGGAGATTGCACCACTCCCCCCCCCCCCCCCGAATAAATCGCGAAATTTCTGGAAGTCACTTGCATAAGCTATAGAAATGTGACTTTTTTATACTTCCAAATAAATGAAATTGTGTATAAATTTTTTTAAAATCAATTTAGCTTTGTAAGAAATTTTCGGATTTCGAGGTCACGGGCCCGCAAAAAATTGGGAATTATCCAAAAAAATTTCGAAAAAAATTACTTGATGAATATAGAAATAAGCGAAATAAGCAAATCTGTTGAAAATGGAGATTGTTAGGAGTATACGATTTGGTGCAAAACTCTATCAACCCAATATTGCTAGTCAGGACTCGGTTCATGAAGTGTATTTCTGTTTCCTGAACACTAATGAATCAAGAATTGCAGCAATAATTAGGTAAAAAAAGCTTTCAAAAGGAAATTAGGAGACATTTTAGAGCTTATATTTTGAGTCAGTGTTCAGACAAATGATCTGGTCCAAGTCTGCGCAAGCAATCATTGTTCTCACGTAGAGAAGAGAGTACGGTCTGGGTTAGAGTCCAGAATTGCACTTCTCGGCAAAACGCCTCATATGAGTTGTCTTGGCAAGGTTCGTTCAGGTCTCCAATTAAGTTTCATGCAAAAAATTTAGGTACCCAGATTTACCTAAACTTCACTTTTAATGTCTGAAAATACCTTCTAAGGTAAAGAATGGCTTTGGGTGAAAGCTTAGAATTGAATTCTTCGATCGGGAACATGCCATACTACTTGTAGCTTGGGCAAAGACCTAGGTAAAACCTCCCAGGTAGTTTTTACGTAGGAGAATGAGTATCCACGCTTCCTTGATACTGTCTTTAACGTTCGAAATTCCTCATTTGTAATAGTGATTGTGAAATAAGACACTATGGTACGGTTTTTGTTTTCAAACCTACGGAGTGTTTCTAATATTGGTTACGTTTGAGATATCATCTACATCTGCTCGTACGATTGCGTTTCATGAGTCTTCGAATTTGCTTCGATTTCTGCAGAATCTGCGAACATTAAGCAGCCCATTCGCTCATCATGAAACATTCTGAGCTGCGGATTTCATTGCGTCAGTACTTTTTGTTTTCCGTCTGAATTTCTGCAAACTTTGCAGGCAACTTAATTAGACAAAAGTACGACAGCTACTACAGCAGCTTAGCTCAAGGCTATGCCAAAAGAAGATAACAAGATTTAGTTGTAAAATTAAGTACATTTGTGAGTGAATCAAGAGTAAAAAGCTTTGGAGAACTTTGTAGTAAGTTTCTTGCGGATGCGATTCAAAGTTGGCAAAACTATTAAGTGGGTTCAAGGTTCGTTCGTCAGTTTTTCAAAAAATCATGACTTTTTCGACTCGATGAATTTCTTAGGGTTTATATTCATCTGAAAAAGGAAAAAGATTCTTTTTACACTACCTTTGCTGTGAGTCGGTGTGAAAAAGCTGGAAAGTTAAAACTGAAAAAAATTACTCAAGATTGTCATTTTCCAAGCAAGGCCGCCAAAAATTCTGAGAGTATTTTTTTATGATGGAGAAAGTTATGCCCTTTACTATACTCCCTTTCGCATGATTTAAAACGAAAAAGATCGAGAGTCAAAAGCAAATAAAAAGAATACTCCAGTTTTGCGAATTTCAGCATGCTCAAAAAAAGCCTAAAATCGTCACAGCAGAGACGGAAACGGTCATAAACATGGGTTTTGTGACATTCTCTTTCTAGCTGAGAGAAAATCGTGGCAATCGAGAGCAATTTTGGTTTGCGTGGAGAACGCAGACCCGAAAATCCGGAAAGATTACGAGAATCAAAATTGCTTTCGATCAGCACAAATTTCGCTCAATTAGAAAGAGATTATGAGAAAGTTACTCTTGAGTAATTTTTTTCAATTGCAACGAAGATTCAGTTCGGCAAATAAACGAAAAATGGACGTGGATAAGAGTCGCGAGAGCTTGAAACAAGAAGTTTGATAGGCTCTAGCCTTTTTTGGTATGAAAGTAGCGGTTTCTTATCACTGCTCATTTCTGCTCTATTTATTTCTCAGCACTAACAGACATTGAGAAGAATCAGAATTTATTAGTAAGCGAAGCTAGAACGGTAGATGCCAACAAGTAAAAGGAATTTATTCATAGCAAAAAAATTCGAGACTAGAAGAATGGATACGAATATACACATGAGAGCAGCGACGGCAAAAACTGCACACACACAGTCATCGGCCGTAGAGCTCAACAATCACGAATGGAACGCTCAGACGAAAATGTTACACATTAGTCGAGTCGTCGGATCGGGATGAGCGGGGGGGGGGATGATGGTGAGGTTAGAAGTAGTACGGAGAGACGTACACCTCGATGATGGCCACGTTGTAGGCGAGAATCACACCGGTCCTTGATTTTGTGTGGATGTTCACGCGAATGCGCTCCGTCGCCGGACCGACGATCGGCTTGGCCAGCTTCACGATTCCTGCAAAAAAAAAACACGCTATCATCTCAAATTTTTTCAGAATCAGTGAAAAGCAAGGACGAATCCCACTCTCCCTTGTCCCCCCCCCCCCCTCCTCTCGGATATGGGTTCGCAAGATATTCAGTGTGGCCTATGTCTTAAATGGTGTGATTGGTTTCAAATAATCATAAAATTATTGGATTCCTATAAAAGTGCAAATCAATTTGTAAGACTCTTTGGGTGCATAGGTGATAAAGCCTTTCATTATGATGCTATTTAAGCTTGAAAAGTCTGAGAAGCTTCCCAAAACTTCAGAAGGTGTGACTAGCTTTGCTTTGATGTAAGAATTTCCTTCAGTTTTATCTATTGAAAACTTTTAACACTCCTACAGAATGAAACTAAATGAATTATTACATCAAAAATTCCCGAAATTCTATTGAACTGTCGGTCTGTAATGAGCTAGAGGAAATGAAGGAAACTGCGTTCATTCCAAGGTTGGTTAAGTTTTTGAACAAATTCCAGTCAGCCATTGCGTCATCATATTCTGGCTCCATTTTCAGCTCTAGCAAGAAGCAAGAGTTAATTTAAAATATTACGAAATCCTTTTCTATCCTGCTAAGATAAATTGTCAATTCAGAATGAAAGAGTGGGAAATTTAGTCTCAGCTTGAAGTGGCACCAAAAGATTCAAACACCAATGTGATTTGTACTATTTGTACGCAGTTTTGAGAAGATATTTTGAGGCATCAGACATTCATTCATCTCTGATAGAGACGGAAGCACGACGCTTTTAAGAGCAGTACCCCGAGAGCGACTATCTGATTTGACCTATTTCTTTGCGAATACTAGTTGAGCTTTGATGAAGCCATTGCTCAAATCGCAGCCCAGATTCCCGCCACATGATCCGACTAAGGCCTTGATTAGTTCCCCAAAAGATGATCAGGTACTCAGGTTTGAGTACAGCCCAAGTGTACGCCACCTTTTTCGCGTAGGATGATCTTTGACGTTGTTCTCTGCTCAGTTCAGATTGCTTCAATGTTGCCCGAATCGGCACATTTTCACTTGAAAAGGAGGTGTTGAAATACTAGTAATTGCATTGGATGTCAGTGGCTGCACACCAAATTGAGTTGGCAAGTTCAACGAGCACGTTCCATCGCCTGGAACTCGTCCGTGACTCTGTTCCGTTGGGCAAATTTTCCTGGGCGGGTTTTTTGGGATAAGCTATTCCTATTTTTGTTTTGGTGCTTGTGGACAGCCGAAAAAATTCAATCCTTGAGAGCTTTTTCTCGGTATGACAGTATAACGATATAGCAGTGACGGTCCACGATTTTCGTCTGGGAGTAGGGCAAAAGTTTTTAAAAATTTTTAAAAAGCATTTTAATTCTTTACAAGAATAAACAAGTCACTTGCATATTTTTATAACCCACGTAAGTGAATTTCAAAATTTCGAGGCTCATTCTCGAGGAGGAGGGTCTCTCGGTCCGCCACCACAGCTATGTATCGTAACCTTTTGTGTTGTCATTTCCCAATGAGTAAGTTCTGGTTAACAGATGAAGTTACCACGAGAAAACATGGAGATTTTAGAAAGGAAAACTATATTAACTTTCCGCGGTTTGGTCGCGTCAAAATGTATGCGACTACTCCAGTTTGACTTCATTTCAGAGGGGATGATTCTTTTCTAAATTTTGTATTTGAAGATAACTACACTGAATAGATTGCTTACCAATATTTCTGTCCTGTTCAATGATGAAATGTCTCATTCCGACGTAGTCGAGGCTGTAGTCCACTGAGAATGGCGTGTCCATATGCGTTCGTATCCTGGACACCTAAAATTTTTTCGAATACTTGTTCGAATTACAAGGAGTTTGAAAATGTAGGCCGACCTCGATAGGGTACTTCACGAATGTTGTGGAGGGTAGAGCTCGAAATTGATACAGAATCTCCTCAGTGTGGTTGCCGAGACATCTTGCTTCTTCTTCTCCGCACACTTTGATGCAAGAGTAACCGTCTTGGATTCTACTAAAATGGACGGTGAAAAATAGCCATCCAAGTGGTTTGTGTATGGCATTTTTTCAAAGTTTTGATGGACGCATGTAAGAAAGTACGGAAAACTTAACATTTAAGAGATGTAAACGAACTGGAATATGTGTTGCTGAGAGTTAATATCCTATTTTTCTCTACTCGAAAGCGGCCTCTTAACTTTGGAGTGCTGGATAAACTCCAAATTTCTCAGTAAACTTTACTGCAGTTGTCGAATCGCTGATTGTTACACCAGTAGAGCATTTCCTATTACATGCGGACAACACTGCATTCTAGATTATCATGCCTTAATTTGGTTAGTCACGGAGAGTAGAAACCAAATTTAGTCTCACGTTACAAACGCGCTTATTCGAGACATTTATCTGGACATATACGAGCTAATACGTACATAGTAAAATAACAGATTATTAGCAGTACAATTCAATCCAAACAGACAATCATGCGGATTATTGCACAAAACATAGTGCAGTTTCTTATCAAGGGAATGTTTAGGTAAGTTTGAGGTGGCTAAGACTAGAAATGTGACTAATGAGATCATATAACGATAGCTATGATTAACAGTTACAGAAATGAGTAGATTCCAAAGGTTTGCAGTGTCTATCCTATGGTATTTCTGTATGATTCATTATTTCCGTTCCAGAAAAGTGAGGTTTTTGGAGCTCTTGACATGAAGTATTGAAACCAGTCAATTTCGTTTTTCTTGGAGTGAAAATCAAGAAAATAAAACGAGAAATGTTAAATTCAGAGCCGATTTAGCTTGAATATACTTTGTATCCAAGAGAAAAAAACGGATCTGGCTAAGATGGCGTACGTACTTTTTTAAGTACAATTTCAGGGTAAGAGTACAATTTCACAATTATAGTATTGACATCTCACTGAGGTCTTGGATCATTCTCGTATAATATAAGTGAATAGAAAAACGCACCAGTGATTGAGGGTTTCAAGACAAATATTTGTGCGTAACATACCAAATTTGAACTGCTGCTCTAAGCAAGAAAAGCATAAATATCAGTATCCAAACGTATTAGAGTGTCTTTTGTGAGGAGCAACATGCACAATGAGGTTAGCGACATATTTCCCAGCAAACTGTGATTTCTTCGTGAGCCTGAGGATGAGTTCCATTTCAATCGTCTGTGGGCCATCCAGGGTGTCCCGGACTGCGACAACAGCAGAATTCCTGTCTTTTCCCTTTTGCAGAAGGAAATTAGGCCGAATTGCCAATAATACCGATGGCGCTTCTAAGAAAACCATTGGTTAGGAAAACATGCATTGTTAAAAAGTATAAGTTGCCATACCAGGTATAGCACGCTTGAGATTTAGCTCGAACTGAACAATTGAATCGTTATGGGACGGTCCCTTGATGGTGAAAAGTGTGATGGTTGGCCGATGTGAGGAGATAAGGATTCCTTTTGGAATGGCGATGAACTGCCAAGTTATGTGGACTGGATATCGTGCTTTGCAAACTGCTTCAGGAATACCGTCGCACATCGAGCGAAGACGATTACATCGGCTAAAAGTTAGTAAAACACTCAACATGCGTATTACGTATTAAAAATAGGATCAAAAGACGTGTTGCATTCATCCAATTACATAAATTAAGGTTTTTCGCCTATATACCGAACTTCTGGAAAAACCGTAAAGAACACCCACTTTTTGTAATTGCTGTCATGGACATAATTAGGAGGGCATTCGATTCGATGGCATTTGAACTGGCCCAAAGTATTGACGCAAATCCTGTCTTTACCCTGACATTCGCCCAAAGCGCATTCGTCGACATCTGTAAGACTTCTATAGCTTTAATTTCAGTCGAAAGGTCGTTCAATCATTTCAGATCTTTGAATCTAATCTTTGAAATTTCGCTCACTCCCTACGGGGAACTGTCAATCATATGCTTAAGCACCAAAAGCTATATCGAAATGCGATGTTGTAATGGAATCGTGCGTAAAACAGGCTTTGGATAAAGGTGGACAATTTTTTTTATACCAGAGTCACCCGGTTCGAACACAAGACCTACCTACACATGTCCTTCCGTCAGGTTGAATTTTGTAACCTGGTGGGCATTGGCAAAGATATGATCCTTTTGTATTCACACATCCTCCCATGCAAAGATCACTGCCTGAAATTAGATATCAATAATTCTGTGGGTCTGTGAAACAATACTCAGCAAATTTTTGAAAAAGTTTTTGAGTGCAATTATCAAATTACAGTTTTTATAGCTATCGCAAAATCTTCAATGAAATAGCTTTGAAAAAATCTGGTTTGGTGACCTTTGAACTCGAAGAAGTAGGTGAGCCAAACACGCGGATATTTCCAAGGTTCCGGAATTTTGTTAATCTAGAGTCTTCGCAAAAAGAGGGCACTCACCATTCGAAAAGCTTCTTAATCTGATTTTTGTGGCATTTGTAAAAATAAATCATTCACATGGAAACAAGTGAATTAGATAATTTAATCGTTTAGATCAATTTCAAAAAAAAAAATCACGCGCACGCATTCTTTTGTTTGCCCCTCTCTGCTTCGTTTTAGGCTTTTAACGTACCATAAATTGCAATCTTAGGATAAAATTATCTTGCTGAATCCACTTGTACTACTGTTCAAACGGCCATGAATTTTCCGGGTTCGAAGGGAAGAAAAAGGTCCTGCACAAAATTTTCAATAATGGTTTTTGTGGTTGAAACGCTGATCAAAATGCTGTTGACGACGTGCCACTTTCGTATAGCTTCATAGCACTCTAATTTTTAGCTCTTTTTTCACGATAAGAAGGTTGAAAAATTGCGAAGTTGTTGTCATCGCATGTAGTGTTCAAAATTTGTATTCTTGAAGACTACGGAAGCTTACATAAAGAAAAAACTCACCCGATCCAGCCCAAAGTGCACATTCGTCGATGTCCTCACAAGTTTTCCCATCGCTACCTGAAACGGCGGAACTTCGGCACAGATCCTTATACTCTTGAGCACTTACCGACAGTATATCCCCTGTCGCATATGCACTGATAAGAGCCGGGTATGTTGATACATTTCTGCTCACAACGAGCTGTCCCTCGTTCGCATTCGTTGATGTCTGTGCATTTGACAAAGAACTTTCACAACTTCTTATGTTAGTCTTACCTTCGCATCTTCGGCCGTCTGCGGCTAGTTCAAAACCTTCCTTGCACTTGCAAATAAAGGATCCGATTGTGTTCTGACATTCGGCGGAGAGGTCGCACACATGTCCAGCAAATTTCTCGCACTCGTCAACGTCTTCACAGCGCTTCGTCTAGAGCCATAAGAGAAGTAAAGTTATAAGATAAACAGCTGTTTCTACTCAACTGTTTTTGAGCATGCAAAGCTAAATTTCATACTTTCTTTCTAACAAGGGAACGCTTGAAGATTATGTCCTCACTGACAGAATGTATCTCAGTAACCTTCATAATGTTGATTCCAAGTATGTTCAATGCTCATTAAGACCCTATAAGTCATATCTTGAGAATATACGCCGACGTGCTAGTGGAGTTCGCTCGGCTTTCATATGAGGAGTGTCCCAAAAGCATTGTTTGATCGTCAACACCTCTTTTTTCTCAAAGTCTTTCCAAGCAGGTGCCATTCTGCAAAGTTGGCTTCAAGCGGAGTACGGTGCGGATCACCGACTTTTGACACTGTAGGATTACGGTAAAAACTTCCAGCATTTGGCGTTCAATTTGAAATCAGAAGATTTTGAAAAAAATCTGTAAAGTCATGTAGGTTTTCGTGCATGCTATTTCACTAGTCAGCTAACGGGCTTTTCAGATTATACAAACATTTTTTAGGAACAGTTAAAAAAGAAAGGTTACGGTGTACATGGCATGATTTATGAAAGAAGCATTGTGGTTAAGTGCATGATTTATGCTTAAGGTTAGCGACCATGATCGATCCAATGTAAGTTCATTACTTGTTTTTTTTTTGAGGCAAATTGTCGACTCACACTCAATTTTCTCTTGCAGTTACAATGTAATCGTACAGTAATGAAGGATGATTAATGCTTCGGATCACTGTAAATTTCATTTGGAGCCAGTTGCACAGAATGTTGAGAATGCTACTTGATTGTCTGCAAAAGATTTGTGGGCAGCGAGATATTAACGATCAAACTGTGCACGCATACTTTTGGGATACCCTGCATGTGGAAGAGGCCCCTCAAACTCTGAAAACTCCGACTAACCTTGTAAAAAAAATTTTTTTTGAATCTAACTGCGGTTACATCTTCTTTTTTGAAATTTTGGGTCATAAGCCACTAACATTTTTGATCCAAATTTTTGGATGTATGAATTGCAACAGAAGTAGTGTTTTGCTGCATTGTTATCTCACCTTTTCGTTGAATTCATAACCTGCATTACATCGACATTTGTAACTGCCAGGTAGATTTATGCACATTAGCCCATCGCACACAGTCTTGTTCAAGCACTCATTGATATCTGAAAAGTCCGATTTTTGGGAAGTGAATGCATCAAGATTCTTCACCATCACAGAATCCAGTGTCCTTGTTGACAGCATATCCGGGTTGGCATATGTTCCCTTTTTGTTGACAGCGAAAAGAGCCAGCAGTGTTCACGCATTCCTCTCCTGGCCCGCACCTATCGCCAGTTGCGCATTCATCAACGTCTGAAAGGGAATATTCACTTCAGACCAACTGCTTCTTCATTACAGATATGTTTAACCACTTTTTTTACGTCGTAACAACCTCTGATTCAACTGGCTTGGCGGCTGGAAGGCGAGGCTTTGTTTTTTAACTGAGGCCGCCCGCGCCCCCGACGCAGTGTGCGCTCTCTCCCGCGTGTGCTCTCTGATCATTACTAGCCTTAATTAGGTCACGAAGCCCCGCCTTCCAGCCGCCACCCAGTTGAACCAAAGGATACAAATGCAACATTTGCTGTCGCGATCCGTAAAACAAAGGGAGAGGAAGCTGCTTGCAGCACACTTCCGAGACGGATACAATCTTCAAGTTCCATGCTACCTCAATCGTCACCGGATCTCTCCTTGTGCGCAATTCTGACAAGGAAAGGATGACTAGTCGAAGAGGCCTTTAGAAATGTGCTGTATATCACTTCAAAGGGCATAATCGCTAATTCCAAATCTAGCCTCGTTATCTGCGGAGCGGTTTCGTGCGAGGAGTTATGAGCGTTTATTGGAGCAGAAAATTGTTTGCTTAATTACGATAAAATCGGTAATAAATCTTTTCAGCGCGTACATGGAGCTGTGATAGTTTCCACGGCATTCTATGCAATGATTGATCTTATTCTGAACATATCTTCGCTCATCCTTGTCCCATTTGCACCAGAAAAATTTTAACACGTAATTCTTCCCTCATTACGCATTCATTTTTTTTGTTCAGAAAAACCCCATAAACTCCGCGCACAGGAAAGCTTCGCAGATAGAGACGACAGATATGGAATCGTTTTATGCTTTCAAGATGGTGTACACCTCATTCTGAAAGGCTATTTTAACTGAGCATCCTTACCTTTTGAGAGCGGCAGCGAGCGACACATGCAGCAAATTGATAGGTAGAAAGCATTACCGCGCTTTTCAAGTCTTAAGCACACCACGTCCTCCATAATGCTCAAGTACTAGACAGCTAGTAAGATGCTGCATGCGAATGCTGCATTTCCATCCTTCTAGACTCAGCCTCTTTTTGATCCGCGTCTGCTGGCCTATCCTTTGTGTGTTTTCGTACGCGTGTAGTTGGAGGCAGTTAATGAAAGATACTTACAAGGGAAGTTTACTTAGTCGAAGTGGCGATTCGGAAGGAGATCTATACCAGTGGATAGAGCTTGAAAAGCCGATTACGGATATATCTTCTATATCTGCGATGCTTTGTTCCGAAAAAAGTTATGAGCTTTTCTAAAGCCAAATTTTCGTGCATTTTGAGTCGCAAAATCATGATAATCGACAGAAGTGTGCAAGCTTAAGCAAAACATCTAGTAAGCATTGTAGGTCTAATTCGAGTTTATCCGAACGTTTTCGAGTGTTTTCCGACCATGTTGTTTATTCACAGGCAGTCATTTCCTTCCTAGATTACATTTCCATTATATATACAAAAAAGCCCTTAACCTCCATCTAGAAGAACGCGTCGCAGATATTGAAAATATATCTAAGAACATCGTTCTACGCTTTATCCATTGGTGATTTCCAAGAAGTTTCCGACGCGACGCGTTTTTCTTTATGGAGGTTATGTGGCTTCCTTGTATACATAATGCAAGTGTGATCTAGGAATGAAATGACGACCTGTGGATGAACAACATGGTCGAAAAACATTCGATAGCTTTCGGATGAACTCGAATTTAAACCTGCAATGCTTACTAGGTGTTTTGCTTAAGCTTGCACACTTCTGTCGATTATCATGATTTTGCGACTTAAAATGCACAAAAATGTGGCTTTAGAAAAGCTCATAACTTTTCTTAGAACAATGCATCGCAGATATAGAGGGTATATCTGAGATCAGCTTTTTAAGCTCTATCCACTGGTGTAGATCTCCTTCCGAATCGCCACTTCGAATAAGTGAACTTCCCTTGTTAGAAGAAACGCATGCGGACGCGATGCAAGCTCCAAGCGATGCGGGCGCGCAATCCTGAGCCATACTGTAAACGACTATGTCATTCATTCAAAAAGTTTTGATTTGAGCTTCATGAAAATTTGTCATTCCATAATTCAGTTTCTGCCACAATATCAATTTTCGAGTCTCTCAAAAATGGGGGCTATGTGCAGAGTACTGCCGCTCAGCAATTCGGCACTTTCCGTCTTCCTAGATACCTGGGAACTCGAAGCGTAATCTGTTAAAAGAAATCATCTCAGACAGTCGAAGTTATACCTTCGGCGGGCATATGGCGCGATTCTGCCACTTCACGCTCCGGAGCCCTGCCATTTCACGCATTTTTGTGCTCCGGGGCTCTCCCAAAAGTGGCACACATCCGGAGCAGAGATTTGCGCGTCGCGGAGAGGGGTCCCATTCATTCACCGTGACGTCACGGTGACGTCACAAACAGGACGAATGGGACCCCTCTCCGCGACGCGCAAATCTCTGGTCCGGAGGTGCGCCACTTTTGGGAAAGCCCGGGAGCACAAAAATGCGTGAAATGGCAGGGCTCCGGAGCGCGAAGTGGCAATCCTCCGCTGGGGAAAGCCCGCGACTCTGCCACTTCTGCTCCGGAGGTATGCCATTGACTGTCTGAGATTGAGCATCAGCTCCAATCCTGCTAGTTCACGATCCTCAACAACCCTTCCGCAAAAGCGTCAGCGACAGTAAATGAAGATACCACTGAGCATCGCTACGTCAATTCCGCAGCACAAGTGGTCTTGGCGGATGGAGTAAACCATACTATAGAAGCGCTTGACACGTGTTCTACACGTTGCATAAGGTGAATGTAGTCGTTGGTAAGTGATAAATATCTTATTGTACATCGCTAGATACTCAGTGAACAGAATGCTTCGAAGCAGAGGTTTTCTTTTTAGCAGGCATTTCGCATTTTATATAAAATTGTCTCCTCCACTTCTTCCGTACCAGCGCAAAGGTGAAAATAAGGCTATACGCATTTTATGCGCCAGATGTTAGTGTGTGAGTGACAATCAATCTATCACTTTCCCCAACATAGAAGCATTGCAGCTAACATTTTTATTATTAAACGTACTTTGCACAATTACCTATGTTATCGTGCGGAAAGATCATCTTTCCGTTATACAATATCAATCGCAAAACTATTTCGAAGCGCTTTTTCATGTTGTTGTTCGGGTCACAAAAACAATAAGCAAAACATAGACACGTCCTGGAGAAGTGTGTTTATTATGCTCTGCACTTACGAAAATAATTGGAGTAAGAGTAGGAGCTTATATTAAAACGTATGTTTACCATTTGCGTGATGTTGGATACGTGGCAACCCAATATTTGCGGATACTTACAAAATTAAACCTACTATCAGTTGTGTACGGTTCTACAGATCAAATTTTGTGGTTGTTGAACAAAATCATGAGCCAGCTGCTACCCAAAGTAGACGCATCCAACTTCCTGATTTATCGAGAAGCTTCAAAGCAACGAATTTGATTCGTCACTGTAGCCAAGTCATTCATGTGACTTTGCTCTACACTAACGCGCAGAACAGTCAAGTCTGCAGCTTTCAAGGATACTGGATAAACATGCCAATATTCAGTGGTTTTTGTGGCAAAAGAGGAACGATAGCCCCACCGAGCTAATGCTTGAGATGTAATATTTCAGATGGTTTGAGACTTACTCCTAGATCGGATTGGCGGGTCAGAGGCTAGCAGTTGTTCTCGCCATTTGCTTCAATAGCAAACTAGAGGAACTGATGTCCGCATGCTGTTAATGTACTGTATCAATAACTGCTGTATATTTACGTCTACCTAGTCCGAACTGAAGAATGAACTTCACCATTAGTCGCACTACATAAAGCTCACACTATACCACAAGACGGATGGGGCTGCCTTATCTCAACGCACACGTAAGTTATTCAGAGGCATAGCTAGCATGAAGTAGTACCGCGAAAAGCTCAAAAAACATCCTTGTCAATGTAAGATTTGCTCATTCTGCATCTTCGAAACGAGCACTGATTAGAAATACGTTTAAGACAGCTATGCAGATATGCTCCGAGAAAGAAGAATGGTGCAAGCCAGTTTAGCTCTTCTCAGATTGCTTGCAGCAATAGTTATCACTGCCGTCACTTATCCAACAACCGCAAATGTAACCACACCTTGTTAATAAGTTCCTACTGTGCCTTCCATCTACTTCCCATAACACCAATGCGGTTTTCCGAAAGTGCATAATTACGTAGACTACAAGACGATTTATTTTGCGTACATCCCAAACATCCCAAACGACTTCAAAAAAAGCAGTTGGTTTGAAAAAGGCTTACGATAGATACCGTATAACAGCGGTAGTCTGCTCGTGCGGGGAAGTAGATGACTGCGCAAAAGTGGAAGTGATTTAAAAACGGAATGTTTAGCTGGAGTGCTCTCCATACTGGGAGATTGAAAGATCGCTTGCCATTCGCGTAAGTTAACATCTGGACATTGAAAAACGTAAAACCTTGTTTTCACGTTTTCCATGCATGGGAAGGAAGCGCACAGTGAAAACAATTTCGATATAAAATCTGAAAATTTGATTATATGAAGCCATCACTTCCTTTGCCAGAACTGAATTAGCGGTGCCCTCAACGGCATGTTCATTTTCTGTCGCTGACAAATTTGCGGCAGGGTTGTTGAGTGAAGATAGAAAACTAACAGGATTGAAGATGATGCTTGCTGGCCTCTTTTCATAAATGACGCTTCAAGTTGTCTCCAGGCCTCTGAGGAAGACGGAAGGCACTAAACGTTGAGCGTTATAATAAAGAACACCTAACGCACATGTTTGGAAAAGCAGTACTACAAGAGTGTAAATGATCAGGGGGTTGGAGTAGTATAACTTTCGAGCCCTTCTTGCTCTTTGTCATGCTGAGCTCGATCATGTGCTTCAGGATGCTTCACATGTTAAGAAGAGTAAAGAAACTTGAAGCATTACGACAAGAAAAGGCATTCAACGAATATTTCTGCGCGTTACAGTCGCATTATAACGTAAAGTGGAGGTGGGGAAAACATCGCTTTACAACCAAAATCAACGATCAACTCCCACGCACATTTCAAGCTCATTGTAGCATTCTTAATCTTGTTAGTATCTATGGTTTAAATAGTGATAGTTTACAGAACACCAAACTGCTGCTGAACTTTCGAGAACATAAACGAGTAGCGGAACTGTAATAATTTGCAAAAGGTAATGGAGCTATGCTTACCATGACACATTCCATTTGAAGGGTAATATCCGAGAGGGCAGTCAATACTTGTACATTCGCCAGTTTGCGGGTTTTGCAATTCACCCTCCCCGCATTTCTTCGGATCACACCTTAATGCACATTGGTTACCTAGACGTTAGATATTAAAACGCCCACCAATCAACTCTTTTTATATTGTATTGTAAACGCCTGCTTGGGCTCTAAAAAAACTGCACCTGTAACTGCCCTGAGTATTTCTGCACTGATACAAAGGCCCGCAGTCATGTGATCCCAAGTTGCACTCGTCGACATCTAAATTTGAATTCTAAACAAAGTTTAGCAATTTTGGAAGCAAGCAGACAGTGAAGTCATGCAAGCATGGCATGCAGAAATCAAGCAAACCAATGCACTCCTCGGTTTCGGAGTCCATGGCGTATCCAGTCCCACATGAGAGTGTTCTTATGCATTTGAAAGAACCAGGCAAATTAAGGCATCGTTGGGACTCAAGACAATCGTCTGCCAGTAGTAGACATTCATCAATGTCTGAATATGTTTGTTAGTATTAACACACTGCAACTAGTTAGATCAAACTCTGGGACACCTGGGAAAAGAGTTATTGGAATGCTGAAAACGAAGCCGGCTGGCCGAATTTCGAATTAGGAGTTATGCTGTTTGTACTTCTTGAAGGGAAAACCACTGCATGGTTGTTTAGCATGCATGTCGCGTGCTTCGCCGACACTAACCTACGCACTGCCCTCTTCGGGATTCATACCCAGCAGGACAGTTCTGTGGCTGCAGTTCATCTTCCACAGGAGCAGTTGGTATAGGGATGAACGTTTGTGACCTCCTTGTGGCAGCTCTTCTATTGTCCTCGTATTTTCTTGCTACTCTAGGTCTTTGGCGAACGAAAGGGCGTTTGACTAAGGGCCTCAGTTGTTGACAGAGATATCCTCCGATTGTATTCACGCACACTTCTCGTCCCCAGGCACATGGGGGCGTAGATGAGCGGCATTCGTTGCGATCTTTTCGCAAAACCAATTTCAATCTTAGCACATAATGCAAACACTATCGAAATTGAAAGGTTATCTTACCAATGCAACTGTAACCATCTGGACCCAGGTCGTATCCTGAACGACAGCTGCATTCTACCGTTTCGCCACCTCTAAATGTTTCATTTCTGTAGTTGTTCTGTAAAAAATGAAAAATGCCCTTTGCATACTGTTTCGTCAATATTTCCAATTGCCAGAAAAGCCTGGTAAGAATCTAAACCTATTCTTTAAATACTCTATACTACACAGAGATCTCTAAGCTGATCAAAAAGGGGGGGGGGTGGTGCAGAAGGAACTAAAGGACTGCCGCCGGTACCGGTGGGAGATGATTAAGGCTGTGAAGAATATTTTTGCAAGATTTCAGAAAACTTGGCTAGGATATCCTTTAGGAACAAATCTTCATAACTTTGCCTGGAGATGACATTAAAAAATTTGAAAAACAGCTTTGTAACGCAAAATGAAGGGAGCATTTACTGGGCTAGAAATAAGTGAAAATTGAGAATTGTAAGTAAGAAAAGTCAACAACTTCCTAACAGAAATTTTTCGCTTTATGAATCTTGAAGTTTCAAATTGTTGAAGACCAGGATTTTCATTCAAAATCATTTTTTTTGTAGAAAAGGAATAGTTTGCCTTTTGAGTCAATAAACTAAAGCAATCGAAATGTCATAGAAACACATCCGGAGCTTGTGTCAAGATGCAATATGCAGTTAGTCTCATTACTTCAAACCTATTCTAATTCTAAATTTTGACACCAGAAATTCCACAAGATTCTTCATTAAGACTATGTTGGTAATCCTTTGGAGGCTGCATATAAAAGCAAAGGTCCATCACATGTAGCTTGTTAATATTATTTCTTGAATACTAGTGAACCAATCTAAAGGTGCTATTTAGAAGAGCGTTCGCTTCGGGAGCGCCACGCGGTTTCCCGCTATTTGCACATTTTTGAATTGCGCTTGCGTTTCTTTATATTAGGGTGATCCAAAAGGAATGGGGCACCTTGATTTTTTTTAACATTCTTCAAGATTTCTTTCTGATTAGCTAAGAACACCTTTCATAACGCCTTTGTATAAAGTGACCTTCGCAGGTTATCTTGACAGCACCTTGCAACACCTCACCGACATTTCTTCGAGTCGCTCCAAAGAAGTCAGACAGACTTTTTTGAACGCCATTGGAATTTGGGCCGCTGCACCTGATAGTCCCTCGACATATGGCATACTATTCGAAAGAGCTTTCCAAACTCTTTCTAATGATTACTTGAATATTCAAAAATTGCACATTATTTTATACAAAAAAGGCACTTTATTCGAAAAAGTGCGGTGAGAAAAGTCAAAGTAATTTGCATATGTATGGATAGAGCTTAAAAAGCACTATCAAAAAGCAACTGCTAAGTTTGGGCTTATTTGATTACCTTGATGAAAGAATAAGTAATATGTCTCTTGATACCCGATGCTATATCTTCTGTTCTAAAGCCTTGGGACCACCGAGCTATTGTGCATTTGGTGACAGTCCCCTCACCCATTGCTGCTCACATATCTCTGGTAGGCTCACTTTTTTACTGCGGCGTTGCTGCTCAAAGTTCAAAATTACTTGAAGTGGTGAGCTTCAGTTTTAAGCGCTTATAGAATTAACGCCATGTGACAGTGCCCAACTATAGACCTCGATCAGAAGGTTTTGTTATGTACTAACATCTGCCAAAACTTGGACTTCCAATTAGCTTTTCTATTTGAGAAAACTGCATTTATTCTCTAGCTGCCCCATTACTTTTAGATCACCCTAATATATTAGATACACCCTATTTTCAACTTCGAATCCAGAATTTTTACTAAAAATTTCACTTATAACTTTCCGCATAACATTGAACTTGAAGGTCCTCAGCTTTGATGGTAAGTTTTAAGCTCAGTTCTTGGTAAAAGTAGAACTAGAGTAGCGAGACGATTTGTTTATCTATCCCGTAAGGTATTACTGGAAAATGCGCATTTCAATGCTGATTCCAAATCTGTCCTTCGTATCCTTGAAAGTTAATTCCAAGACGAGTTATAAGCGTTTGCTAATAGATGTCCCCGCCAAGCCTTCTTAGATCCTCGCTAAAATCCTCTCCACCACGCTCGCGCTCCCAATTATCTCTTACGACCATAGGCGGCAGGCCTTTGGTTCCTCTCGCACCGCATCCACAAGTGATTTGCACAGAAGAAATTTTGGAATGAGTGGTTTCTCTGCATGATTTGTTTCTATGCTAATGCTACAGATTTCTATTAAGTGGTCTCAAAAGTTTTTTAATCTTGACTTTTTACAGGAATAAGTCATACAGTTCTTAAATCTAACTAGGGTGCAAGATACCGTTCTATAGAGTCGAGCTCTATAAGGACGCCTTCATACCGCGCCCACAACCGCCGCTAGCAGCCCGTAGCAGCCGCCCGATGTTCGTAGCCGCCGCTGGCCGCTTTTATTCATAGAAGAGCAAAATCATCAAATTCTTTCTACTTTAAGTGCACCCGCCCACGCTTTCTATCTTTTATGCGTTTGTCTTCCTAGTGTCGCTAATGTGCAGTTCAACTCTCACACATTACAGAAGTTGTTTGATTAGCACCGATAGCCAAGGTAAAGATTAAAGGACGGACGCATCCCAAGGCAGAAGAAATCACACCGCGAAGAAACTTTGGTAAGCTATGGCTCAATTGCGAAGCACCAAGAAGATAACCAATCTGAGGCAACAAAATAATAACAACAATGGAGACAAGTATAATATTATATAAGATCGCAATGCATAATGGCTGCAACAGGAAGAAAAAAAGCGTGTAAGATGGAAAGCTTGGGCGGTGCACTCAAAGTAGTAAGAATTTGATGATTTCGCGTCTGTACAAATAAAAGCGGCCAGCGGCGGCTACGGGCTGCTACCACTGCTAGCGAAGACTGCTTGCGCGGTATAGAGCACCTTAAGATGGTGTGTAAGAGTTCGCACCAGCTTCAAGCATCTCGAACTAGAAGCCGAAATCTAGCAAGGGATACCAGATCGCAATGGCGAACCGAAATGATATGCATATCATTATGCGCCTTGTTGAACTGATTTCAAATCTTACTTCCATATTGCTAAGCTGTTCTCTAACAGAAGTATGAGTGTTGAATGTCCAGAATTGGCAAACATTCAGTGACACATCTTCAAGAACTACTTTATCAGAAACATATGTTCGACATACGTTTGCATTCCCCGTAGTTGATGCACCCAGAACCATGCCAACTGACCACTCTCAGCTGGTTCATAAAACACATTACTCATCAAAACCCTAATAAGTTCACACCTTTAACCGTATATAGGTTCATACTGAATTGCTCAGCAGATAAGAGAGGCAGATTTGGAATCAGCTTATCAAGGCGCATCTAAGGATATGCATATCATTTCGGTTCGCTGCAACCTGATATCCTTCCCTTGTAAGAAGTTTTGGGCGCCCGAAATTCAAATTGATTTATTTCTTCCTCCAAAACAAATTTATCGGACCTCTCACTCGCTCACATATATATGCTCCATCTTAGGGTTGGGCCAGACTGCGCGGCGTACGCTGCGTACGCCGCGTACGCCGCTTCCCCGCGAAGTCTGGCTCAACCCTTATATATAAAGCTGAATGTCTGTTTGTCTGTACGTATGTGTGTACATATGTTCCGAATAGAAAATTCCATTTCTGAACCGATCTGGATCAAACTTGGCACGCATACACTTCGGACCCCGGCGGGTGTCATAGGCTACTTTTCGTTATCGATCGATACGATTTTATCGATTTTTTACAAAGTTTGAGCTACGGGGCTGGGAGTTGGTACAGGGGGTTAAGTGAGCATGCTGATTACGAATGTAATAATGACAGGGCCGGGCGGAGCCGGGTTTGCCAGCTAGTCTTATATATAACGCTGAATGTCTGTTTGTCTGTACGTATGTGTGTACGTATGTTCCGAATAGAAAATTCCATTTCTGAACCGATCTGGATCAAACTTGGCACGCATACACTTCGGACCCCGGCGGGTGTCATAGGCTACTTTTCGTTATCGATCGATACGATTTTATCGATTTTTTACAAAGTTTGAGCTACGGGGCTGGGAGTTGGTACAGGGGGTTAAGTGAGCATGCTGATTACGAATGTAATAATGACAGGGCCGGGCGGAGCCGGGTTTGCCAGCTAGTCTTATATATAACGCTGAATGTCTGTTTGTCTGTACGTATGTGTGTACGTATGTTCCGAATAGAAAATTCCATTTCTGAACCGATCTGGATCAAACTTGGCACGCATACACTTCGGACCCCGGCGGGTGTCATAGGCTACTTTTCGTCATCGATCGATATCGATTTTATCGATTTTTTGCAAAATTTAAGCTACGGGGCTGGGAGTTGGCACAGGGGGGTAATCGAGCATGCTGATTACAAATATATCATTGACAGGGCCGGGCGGAGCTTGGTAAGCCATCTAGTATAATATAAAATTCCCAAGCTTCCAAAAAAGACTATCCTATGCTATTCACACGTAGCAAATGCATACTACGTATACAGCCGCTTTTCAGCTCCTTACAATTTCCAGTTTTCAAGATATCAAATCAAGTTTTTCTTGCTAGAGTCCTTCTTGTTAAAAATCACTTTTAGATAGCTGCAAATCTGCAGTTGTACTTCTAACATGTTTGTAGTATACAGTTACTTACTTGCAAAAAACACGGAATTACTTTTCTGAAAGCTTGATTATTAAAAATTTTTAGTTTTCTCGGTTTCTAGCACACAAGGATATACAGCGACGGTCTATATAAATGTTCGATGCGGAGTGTATATGCACAAGCGCATGGATCCATTGATTTTGTTCTGTACAAAGATATAAATCTATTTCAATTTTCCGGGCATCTGAAACTTCCGCGATTTTGGCTTTTACCATGAGATGTACCAGAGCGGGTGCGAACAGTCACATGCCATTTTATAGAGCTTGTTTTGCTCTGCCGAATGATCCCCATCCGAATGGATTCAAGAATTGTATGACTTAATGCGGTAAAAACTTGAAATTGAAAAAAGTTATGGGATTACCCATTGCAAAAACCGCTTAGATATAAAATTTGTTGGTTTTGGGGATATTATTCATATGGAGATGGT